AACGACTGCGGGAACCAGGCAGGAGAGAAACCCCAACAAGCAGGCCCAGTGTTTCAGTGGGGTAAACTTTGTTAGACAAGTACAAGGCCCTGAGCATCTTGTAATCACAGAAAGGGCAGTTTAAAGAGAGGACAAGCCCTGGAGTACTTGCAGGCTAGACAGTCTAGACTCAGTGTCGAGCACCAGGTTCAATAGAGACCCTGCCTTAAAAATAAGGTGGAGGGCTGCTGAGATGGCTTGGTGGGTGAGGGTGGACGGCCGCTGAGATGGCCCAGTGGGTTAGGGTGGATGGCCGCTGAGATGGCTCAGTGGGTGAGGGTGGACGGCCGCTGAGATGGCTCAGTGGGTGAGGGTGGACGGCCGCTGAGATGGCTCAGTGGGTGAGGGTGGATGGCCGCTGAGATGGCTCAGTGGGTAAGGGTGCTTTTGGGCAAGTCTCATGACTTAGTTTGATCCTCAGAACTGACAAGGTGGAAGGAAAGAATCAACCCCAGAAAACTGTCACTTAATGTCCACACGAGTATACATATACAGGTCCCGCATGTTTATATAACAAGCAAGGAAACATAAACACCAGTTATCCCCACTTCATTTTAGGTAGCTAATTTGAGGGACATGTTCTCTGTTAGCAGTAAAGTAGCTGCCTGGAAGTAAGGGCATGAATGATAATTGTGAAGGCAATAAAAATTAGATGCTGAAGGCTAAATCAACACTTCTGAGTGGTTTGGAGAACTGAGAGAAAGGGAGATCAGGGATGACGGTATGATTTTGGTCTTAAATGACAACAGGAAATGAAGCTAAGGTGTAATGACACAAGGAAGTATACAAAAGGTGTAGGCTTTGGAGAGGATAGGAACTATAAGTTTTGGCTAGGTTTAATTTGAGGTAACCAAATGAGGCAGCATTTTTAATAGCACTTTCAGCAACTAAAAAACATTTAATAGCCAAAAAGCCCCCAAAACTATAGCATTTCCTTAATAAGATGGTCTATATTTATATACTTATTATATATGAAGGTCTAGTCTGGTATTTTCCAGATTCTTAAAATGTTAATTTTATGGAAAACACTGTCAAGAAACAGTGATAATATTTAATCAAAGATGGCATATTTACATACATGTTATTACTGTGTTCTAAAAGTTGAAAGAAGTGCCAAAAAATCTGAAATATTATCAGTGAACATTTCAGGTATCACAATAAGATGCTACATGTGACGGAAACTAGCAAATGCAGGTTTATAGTAACTTGAAGATTACACCACTGGCGTGGATGAGACTTTCCAGACCTGCACTGAAGAAACTGAGGTGTGTGAAAGTGGTAAGAGTAAGAACCAAGCAGAAAAGAACTAATTGTCTAGGACTCAGCGGATGGATAAAGAAGTACAGGTTTTTACAGTCTTAAAACACATCTTGAAACACTACCTTCAAACTTTTCTGTTTTCCGGATTTTTGTTTTTGTGCGTGCATATGTGTGTGTTGTGTATGTGTGGGCCACAAGGCAACGCTGGCTCCTACTCTGATTCTCTGTTGCTGTCATGAAGACCAGGACCAAAAGTAACTTGGGGAGGAATGGGTTTACTTCACTTGACAGCCTACAGTCTGTAATGAAGGCAAGCCAGGGCAGGAATTCAAAGGCAGGAACTGAAGCGGAAGCTAGGGAGGACTGTTGCTTGCTCCCCTTCTCTACTTAGACTGCTTTCCTTCACAACCCAGGACCACTTGTCCAGAGCTGATACTATCCTCATTGTCTGCCACACATCAACCATTAATTAAGAAAATTCCCCACCCGCTTGTCTAGAGGCCAATCTGATGGAGGCAGTTCCTCACCTGATGTTCCCCTTTTCTAGATGACTCCAGATGTATCGAGTTGACAAAGCCAGCACAGTGCCTCAGGAACTATCTACCTTGTCTTCTGAAACGAGCCCTGTCACTGGCCTGGAGTTTGCCCAGTAGGCTAGGCTGGCACAAGAAGCCCAGGGATCCATGTGTTCTTGCTCACTAAGTGACTAAGCTCCTACAGGGTACAACAAACTGAAGGGGAGTCACCCATGTTCCATGATCCATAATCAAACTAAACTTTTAAGGAAACAAACAGATCACTAAATAGATGCTTTCCCTGAATCCCAGTCTAACTGAGTCAGGATAAGGGATGTGCTCTCTGCTTTAACACCGACAAAAAGTAACACAGTCAAGCATTTTCCACACTCTCTCTCCTGATTATCCTGTTTCCTCATTTCCAATTTATGGAACCCACAGTCCTGTTACTGCTCAGTGGATTCTCACATTCTATTTTGTAGAGTGGAGGCTACTCTGATTTATTAATCACAAACAAAAACTATTTAAATTTATATGGAAACTTGTTCTAATTTTGAGAAAGCAAGTGGTGGGCAGTGATAATGCACACCTTTAATCACAGCTCCCGGGAGGCAGAGACAGGTGGATCTGTGAGTTCAGGGGCAGCCTCATCTAAGAGAGAGAGAGAGAGAGAGAGAGAGAGAAAGAGAGAGAGAAAGAGAGAGAGAAAGAGAGAGAGAGAGAGCGCGCGCAAGTTGGACAGAGGTGCTGGAGTTTGCTTGCAATTTCCCACAGTCTTTTCCTAGAACCTTCTAGTCACTGTAAAGATAGAAACAAACCTACCATTTGTAGGTAGAATTCTTCCAAGTAATGTGATTAAGAGCTGACAATAGAAGAAGACCAGAGAAAGCAAGAGATGTGGGATAAAGTAACAAGAAAGAATAGAAAGAATAGAAGGAAAGGGAAGGAGATGCCAGATGTAAAGTAGGAACTGAAAGGTGAGAGCGGGAAAGGAAGAAAGAGCAAGAGCATAGGAAGTGGCAGAGGAAAGGAAGGGAGAGTGATACTGATAACCTTACACCAAGCAGCATGAGTGACAGAGTTTTCTAGCAAAGACCTGCATCTGGGCCACTACAGATTCAGATGGGAACTAGGCTCAGTGCCATTACTCACCTTTTAGGACTCATATTCACAGGGCAAATGGGACAGTGAAGTCTGCGGCACTGACTCAAGCTCTGGAAGGAAATATTTCCTTTTTCCTAGTGACTTTCACTAACAAAAACGCAAACAGAACCCATTATGAAACCATTTTGACAACCGGCTGTACTGGGGAAGGCCTGATGCCTGCTGCTACTTTGGTTATCCCACAGTGCTCAGTTCAGAAGTATAATAGCCGGCAGACATTCAGCAAATACTTGGACAGCTGGGAAATCTTAATATGGAGTAATGTTTTCATTGTGGGGGGAGACAAGGCGCAGAAGAGCATTTAATAGATCCTCTGGTGAGAAATCAGCCTCTGCTTTGTGGAGAAAGGGCTCAAGACACAATAAGACTCCTATAGTTAAGTCTCACATTATTTGTTATTAAAGAGGCAAGGACTTAAGATGTGCTTTTTAACAGTCTTTAGTTTGGCTGTAATTTAAGATGACTTTTACAAATTAGATCCTAATCCTTGCAGACACAGATGGCTATTACAGAGCAGCTTTGTAAAAACACTAGTCATTCGACTTGAAAGAGCATTCAGAGAGGGATGAAGTGCCATTAACTCTCAGATCATCTATGACTCTAGGCGGCCTAGGGTCCTGGGCTTTCTGGGTTTAGGATTGGAATCTGGGTGGGCCTAGGGCATCTGTTCTGAATTGGAATAGCCTTTGTCACTAAGGAACGAGGGACTTAGGAGAGTCTGAGGCTACCTATATTTGACAACAGTTACTGAAGTTCACAGATGAGGCACTGTGGTAAGAGCTGTAGCTGCGAGGGATGTGGATGGGATATGACTGTCTCTAGTCATTATCAAACAACAAGGCAAGTGCTATCGAGGAAAGAGTGCACAAGCTGTAATGACACATAGCTTGCAAGGAAAGGGAGGGCTCCACAGAGCTCGGCATTAAAACGTGAGTTCAAATAGGAGACGTTAAGAGTATATGAAGCACAGCAGCACAAGGGTGTCCGTGCCTTTATTGAATAGTGAGCAATCTCCCATCTCCTGCTGATGGAAGTAAGGTTGGAACTAAAGTAAGGGGCTAGACTGTTAAGAATTTTTAACTTCTCCAAGGGGCCTACAGTATAATAGGGTAGTTTACTTTAGCGTAGAGTTCAGTTTATTTTATTGTAGTGTTGAAGAGGACCATTTAGTTAGTATCTAGCTGGGCTTACACCTCTAAAAATGCAGCTACCTTTTCTGTTAGCATTCATAGTACATTGCTAGTATATATTTATCTTAATTCAATCACAACTGCTAAAAGTATGCACCTCTATATATTTCCATAAAATCCAGTAGCTTTACTTTGTCTATAGTTTCAATATTTTCAAGTTGTTTTGATATTATTTTTCACAATCTAAAAATCTGATATTAATTTATATTGTTAAATAATATGGTATATAGGAAAGGAATAAATACACAGTTTGTCAGTTCCCTCCATGGAGACGATAGACAACATCTTCTGTTCATAACCACTTAATCATCAGTGAACCTAATTAATTACTTTGCCCCAGAATAAAATAATATTATTAAGTATTTTGCTATAATACAGACATACTATGACTACAGATGACCGTCCTCAAGGCTGGTAAGACTATCAAATAATAAAGTAATCTTTGCTTAACATAATGCATTCTTAGTGAACCTGTACTTGTGTTGATCCTGTTCTAATAATGAATCTATTAAGCACAATTCATAGTCATACCCTGAGATATATAAATGAGACTTTAGGATAGCCTGTTAGGATAAGTATACACCTAAAAAGCAACAGAAGAAAGATCTAGCATCTTTTTTTTTTTTTTTTTTTTTTTTTTTTTAAATATAGGTCTCTAGATACATCTGCTGGCCTAGGAAACCCACGCTCCACAGGCTGAGGAGGGAACTGTATAGAACCAAGAAAGACTTCGGGTATTTTACAGTGAGTAGCCTTTATCATTTGGCTTTTCACAGCCTCCTTCTGGCCCCTGTGAGCTGAAAGCACTCTTTGAGATAGGAAGGGAACTTACATCTCTCCTAGGAAAGGTGCTCAGTAACTTGAATTCGTCCCATGGAAATCCTTTGGAAGCCACGAAATCAAAGACAATCTGGAGCTTACTGCTGGCCAGGAAACGCCGCTCCAGGAACTCGCCACTGGGGGTTCGGATTCGCAACTTGCTAACAGGCTCAGCATTTTCTTCCTTTGGCTCTGGAGGCAGGGCTTGTTCTAAGGAGAGTCGGATGGCCTAAGTAGATTAAAAATTGAGTGTTAAAACAGGGCATAGATAGAATTATGGAGACTGGGTGAGGGAGAAAGTAGAAAAAAATAAAACTGAAAACTAATTATGATATGTGAGTGCTTAAATCATTTTATTAAAACATTTCAACTTTTTAAAAACAAGACTTATATATTTATTTTGTATGTTATGCATGTATACGTGGGTGTCTGAGTACCACTGTATGTATGTGGATACCAAACAACAACTTGCAGGAACTGGTCCTCTCCCTTCAGTATGTAGGTTCTGGGGGATTGAGCTCAGGTTATAAAGTTTGGTGGCATGCACCTTTACCTGCTGAGCCATCTGGCCTGCCCTTATTTAAATTGTTTTTAAGTGTATACATCAGTGGCATTAAGTACATTCACAATCTTATGTAGCTAGTACTATTTTCAAGAACTTCTTCACCCTAGATAATCTCTATTAATTTTATGCATGTCTTTAGAAAAGCATGCATTTTATTTTATTTACAATATGTGAACAGGTGTTATTAATATATTAAGCTTTATATTTTTGTTTAGCAATGTATGTGAAACTGCTTATGTATTTTATTAAAGTAGCATACATAAGTAAAACTGCCTAAGCATTGTGTGTAACTTGGTAAATATTCAGAGCATTGATATAGCTATAAAACTTGCACCGATCAAGTATCTTAGAACTATGTCCTTTTCCCACATGCTCCTGGTCTTCAAAGGCTGTCTCTATCCTGACTTCCAAGACCTAATTTTAAAAACCATTATTCTGAGCGAATGAGATGACTCAATAGGGAAAGGCACTTGCTGCCCAAGTTTGGTGACCTGAGTTCGATCCCTGGAACCTACATGGTGGAAGGAAAGCACTGACTTCTGTGTGCTGTCCTTTGACTTCCACATGTGCCACCTAACAAAAGAAATATATTAAAAAGGCTATAACATCATCAGGAATGCAGGCTTCCTATTATGACAGACAGAGAAGGAAATATAAGTAATAGCCTTTCTGACTACACGTATAAGAAAAATCGTCAGGGCCAAGGGTATCATAGCTTAGTGGTCAAGCACCTGCCTACCATGCACACTGACTGAGTTTGATTCCCAAAGTTACATTTTCCTTACAAAGTCCTTGTATAAAACACAGTTGTATTTAAAGATGCTTAGTGCAGCTACCTAGCCAGCACTTAGCTGGTAACAAGTGTCTCAGGTTGAACCTAACACTGTAAACAATTGAGGACAGTTGCTACTACTGATGTTACAATTATTCCTTTTACATCAAATCAGAACATAATTCAGTGTTTCCTGCTTTCTCTTTACCCACCTGCCAGCTTGCTTTCTTTTGACATTTCCCTGTGAAGCAACAGATGTTACATTACTGTCTGAACTCAGGGATTATACTAGAAGAACAGACAACAGTAGCCCATTAGTTTAGTCATTGAGCAGACTGTATCTGCTCTTCAATGTAAGCAGTCTCCATGGCCTTTCTACACAATGAAAGCAAACCTCAGATATCCCACACTAGTGGACCAATGTGGAAAACAATGAAGAAATAATAGATAAGTTCACTACTGCCCTGCTTCTAAATAACCAACAGTTTCATTGGCAAAAAGAACAAAAATACAGCAGTAGCCCAGTCTCAAATATACTAAATCCAAAGGACTTGTGTAAGCAAACACTGTTTTAAAACAATGACATAAAGGACACTTAAACTCAAACAGTCATTGTAAACAGCACTGTTGAACTTCATTTAGTTTGCTCAATAAATATAGGGGTTTTCTTTATTTGCATTATTTTAGGTTTGTGATAAAATAAAGCTGGTTTAAGAAATATGAACTATTCTTAAGAACAGTTAAAATATCTTTTTACTTAAAGCATTTATATCTGAACAATGAGAAATGGAGACATTTTATGAAGTAAAATTAGGCACTGAAAACAGACACTCATAAAAAACACAATTTCATGGGTAGTGGTGCACACAGTTGATCCCAGCACTTGCAAGGCAGAGACAGGCAAATCTCTGTGAGTTTGAGGCCAGTCTGGTCTACAGCGTGAGCTTCAGGACAGCCAGTGCTAGACAGAGAAACCCTGTCTCTAAAGACCAAAAATATTAAAAAAAAAAAAAGGAAACAAAATATATTCTTTCACCAAACCTTTTTAACCATACTCAAAGACTGGCTTAATACATTTGCATACACACATGCAAAAGATATATGTACATTATATTTTAGCCTTTTATTAGTAAGTATGTAGCAAATAATAATTTGCAATGTTAAACAGTCTAAAGCTAACATTAATTCCATGAATTCTTGCTGAGTATTTTCCTATGTTAGGCACTGTTTTAAATGACTGAAAAAGAGCAAAGGAAAAAAAAAAAGCACAAAAAAATTCTGCTTAAATGGAGCTTCACCTTTTAGTAGGGTGAAGACAAACACCAAGGCAAGAAAACATGTGCCTCTTAATTACACAATTGATGGGGGGAGAGTCTTCTGTTTTGTGTTAATTTCATTGGTTAAGTAATAAAGAAACTGCTTGGCCTCATAGGTTAAAACATAGGTGGGAGGAGTAAACATAACAGAAGGCTGGGAGAAAGAAGCTAGTTCAAGGAGTTGCCATGATTCTCCCACTCCAGGCAGACGCAGGTTAAGATCATTCCTGGTAAGCCAGCTCGTGGGCTAAACAGATTAATAGAAATGGGCTAGTCCAGGTGTGAGAGTTAGCCGAGAAAAGGCTAGATATAATGGGCCAAGCGATGTTTAAAAGAATACAGTTTCCGTGTAATTATTTCGGGGCATAAGCTAGAGCTAGCCATGTGGGCGGCCGGGTGCCGGGGATGCAGCCCCGCCGCTCTTACTACTACACACAATATATTAATTACACAGAGAGGGGGAATGCTGGAACAATGGAGGAAGGCCACAGTTTACAACACTGTAAGCCACAGTAAGAAAAAGCCTAACAAGAGTGGAAGCCACATCAGCAATTGGGTCAAAAATATTACAGGTAGGAGGCACAGTGAACAAACATCAAGGCTCTGGGACTGGTATGCTAAAGAACAGCACAACAGCAATGTGACTGGAGCAGAATGCGGAAGGGTAGAGGGAAACAAATGTACATTTTGAATATATTCAGCTTGAGAAAGCTTGGGCATATGTGTGGTACTGGGTACTTAACCCAGGGCTTTGTATTTGTGAGGGAAACACCTTACTGTTTATCCATATCCCCAATGCACAGAATTTTAATTCTAATAAAGTCCTAGTTAGTCTTCTGTACACAGAAGCCCTGTCCCACCTGGTCCCACAGCTGTTCAGTCCCAAAGGAACACACAGAGGCTTATATTAATTATAAACTGTTTGGCCTGTTAGCTCAGGCTTATTATTAACTAGCTCTTACACCTTAAATTAACGCATAATTCTTATCTAAGTTTAGTCACATGGTTTGTTAGTTTTTAATCAGTGAGGCATTCTCATCTTGTTCCCTCTGCAACTGACTGGTGACTGCATCTCTGCCTTTCCCCTTCTCAGAATTCTCCTAGTCTGATCACCCTGCCTATATTTCCTAGCTGGCTACTGGCCAATCAGTGTTTTGTTAAACCAATACAAGTGACATGTTTTTACAGTGTACAATAGCATTATCCCATGGCGGTTTTCTTAAAATAAAAAAGATTATATTTTACGTCTGTGTTTAGGTATGAGCATATGAGTGGAGCTGCCCACAGAGGCCAGAAGGGCATTGGACCCTCTGTAAGCCAGACTTACAGGTACTTGAGAACTGCCTACCATGGGATCTGGGAACTGAGCCTAGGTCTTCTGAACAATAGACTGTACTCTTAACCACTGAGTCATCTCTCCAGCCCTGAGACTTATTATTTTATGGATCATGACTTTGGTGTCAGAGCTAAAATATCTTTGCCTAACCTAAGATCTTGAAGACCTTTTCTCCTGTGTTTTATAAAGTCTTGAATTCTGATAGCATGCCCTCCAATTTTGTTCTTTTTTTCAGTTTTGACCATTCCAGTTCTATTCCTTCTTCATATACACTTCAGGAACAGTCTGTCAGTTTCTAGGCAAAATTCTACAGAGAAACAACTGAAATCAAGGTAAGATGTTAGTTCTTATATAGAGTGTGAAGTTAAGAAGCACAACACAATGATTATTTTTTTTTTAAAGGATTCATTAAGACTGTGGAAGGTAAAAATAGAAGCATGGACTCAAGTTAGGTGGTCGTTGGGTAAGTTTGGTAGTAGCAGTCAATGGAGAAACATTTGAATTTGGGAAGTATTTTTAAAGTAGGTCAAAACATATAACTATTAATATGAATGTGAAAGAAGTCAAGCAAGATACCAAGGTTTGTGCTCAAAATACTGAAAGATTTTCCATTTACTAAGCAAGGCCAGAAAGTACAGAAGGCAGGTTTGGGTGGGAAGGGTGAGATCAGTTTTAAGATTTTAGACAGACGAAGTTTGTGATATTTATTAGCAATGCAAGTGGAGGTGATGGGGTGGCAATAAAAGTCTCAAGTGAACTTGTCAAGGCTTCTAATATAATTTCTGTTTTTTTTGCCTTTAACATTATTTAATGTTTTCTACTACAGGAGACATCAAAGCTTCAAAGAAAACAATTTTGGGTAGTCGGGAAAAAGTATAACTTTGAAAAAACTAATAAAACTCAATTTTGTCAATTCTTTTTCATCATCAATTCTTCAAAATGTGGCCCTTTAAGCATAAGTTCCAAAAGTGAACTGTTGTCTAAGTTTGTCTATGTAGTTAGTGTTTGATGGAGGAAGGTCATTGGTTAAATAAAAAGAAACTGCTTGGCCCTCATTGGTTAGAAGATAAGTGGGAGGAGTAAACAGAACAGAACGCTGGGAGGAAGAGGAAGTGAGCTCAGACTCCACAGATCTCCTCTTGGGAGCAGACGCCTCAGAGACACCATGCTCCCAGCTCCCAGGCAGACGCACGCGATGAAGCTCCGACCCAGGATGGACATAGGCTAGAATCTTCCCGGTAAGCGCACCTAGCTGTGCTACATAGAACATTAGAAACGGGCTAGTCCAGGTGCGAGAGTTAGTCTAGAAGAGGCTAGATAGAAATGAGCCAAGCAGTGTTTAAATGAATACAGTTTGTGTGTAATTATTTCGGGGCATAAGCTAGCCAAGCAGGCGGCCGGGGTGCTGGGAACGCAGCCCCGCCGCTCTTATTTCAACAAGTGTTCTTTAGTAAAATATGCCTTCTCCATTTATTCACAACAAAAGCCTGCCCCTGGCCCGCCATCCAATCATTAACTCAATCAGAGTGTTACTCTGCTTCATATAAAGATGGATACCTGGCTACCCTGCCCCTCAGTGAAGTCTTTCTTGTGCCTTTTTACCTTTAGGACCCATCTCCTGCCTCCACACATTTTCAGTCCTCTTGCCTTAATAATTTTATAATATACACTATCTTTTCTTCTAGTTATTTATATTTGTTTATTTTTTGCACTAAATAATAAGCTCCTTGAGGGCTGGATTATATTTTACATATATAACATAGTAAGTTATGTAAGTAATCATAGCAACCAATTTATAATTATAAATGACTTAAAATAATACTGATAAACTGGGCAGTGCCGGAACACACCTTTAATCCCAGCACTTGTAGGCAGAGGCTGGTGGATCTTTATGAGTTCGAGGCCAGTGTGGTCTACAGAGCTAGTTCCAGGACAGTCAGGGCTACACATGGAAATCCTGTCTTGAAAACAAAAACAAAACAAAACAGAAAAAAAAAACAAAAAAAATTTGATAAACATCTGCTCAACAGATTAAAAACTTCAGGAGAATCTTTTTTCTACTTGCCAAAAACTTAATGGCAAGGAAAGATTTCCTGGATGACAATAGTTTATACATTCAACAGGCACTGTAAGACTCACCCCTAAAACTGTACTGCTAGAAATATGTGAAATATCGTACACTTTGGCTTTATGGTTTGAATTACATGAAAACATCTGTCAGGTGATGTCACAATGACTTGCTATCATTGCTCTGGTGGACCACATGTTTGCCACACAGATTCCTCTTAGAGGACTAGAGGAATCACTACTCTAAGGCTCTGGGGTAGGAAAATCTATGGTATCCTTAGAGAAACTAGTTATATTACCTCATGTTAAACTCATGTCAAAGTGGGACTTTGAAATGATCATATCTTTCTTTGTTTTAGCTCAAGAGAAATATAGAAGAAACTGGCTCCCTTTGAGAAAATGAATAGACTCTGATTACATGTACTGGGTCCCCTCTTGAATTTCTTGTCAACATGCCCATATCACCTTTTGTTTATCTTCTTCCAGTTGTCCATAATTTTACATCTATCACTCTTTTTAAAATTCTTTGAATTATAAGTATTTATACATATCATTTAAAATTGATTTTAGACTGGGAGGGGAATCTGTTGTTGGGATGTACTGTATGAGAGAAAAATAATTTTTTTTAAAAAGGGTACATATAAATTAGTAAAATAGAAAGGTTTCTGTTGTAATATTTATTTTTTTTCCTTCAGAATACCCATTACTCTTTATTATTATGGTCAAGGGCTGGATCAATATATCTTTATATATTTCACTAATTTCATTCTAACGGTTGCTTAGAGAAAAATGAGATCAACTACTCGGAAATTTTCTTGTGAATAAGGCGATTTTACTGTTCAAGTTTGTAAAGGGTCTTGAAATACCAGAGACAATAGAAATAACAAAACTCCTCTTGTTTCTCAATGTAATAATATGGACTGTGATTTCTACTTAGAAGGCCGCCAGTGTTACTATGGAAAGTCAGGTGACCTAACTTCTGATCAAGACTGTATGTTCAACCAGTTTGGTGACAACAGGCAAGCCATAACCTTTCTGGGTCTCAGAGGCTGTACCACCAGCCGCTAGTTCTAGCACTGTGGTTTGTGGCATACTAGCGTGCTGCAATTGGTTAACAGACATCCCATGAAAACAAACAACAGAAAATGAGGGTAAGGCTGGAATAGAGTCTTCACAAAAGACCTACCTCTGTAACATATGATGAAGGAAGTTTGAGAACACAGCATTGCCAAAGCTTGTATTTTGTGGGAAAACATCAATGGGGAAAATGCAAGGAATGACCACTGCACTGTAACCTGTACCCTCCCTGATTTCTATCCTTTACATGTTAATGACTGGAATACATATACAGGCAGAATTATTTCTTATCTGAAATGCTTGGGGCCAGAAATGCTTTAGATTTCAGAAGTTTCTGGTTTGGAGATATTTATACATATGTGGGGTCTTCTATAGACCTTATAAATATTAAGAAAGAAAATTTTAGTTCAGGGTAAATTATGCAAATTATTAGAAGAAAGTATAATATATACTACTATCATGCTATCAATACAGACAGAATATGTAGTGAATTTTTATGTACTTGAATTTTTTAAAAATTCATTATATGAGTGTTATGCCTCCATGTGTATCACATGAGTGCCCAGTGTCTGCAGAACTCAAAAGAGGGCATTGGATTCCCTAAGACTAGAGTTAAAGATCGTTACGAGCCACTATGTGGACACTTGGAAATGAACCTTGGCCCTCTAGTAGGGCAGCCTCTTAACCACTGCCCAAGACATACACTCTTGACATGTGAGCAAGCTAGTACGGTTGACAATATCCTAAAAGAAAAGGGAGGGCATGGTGGCTCATACCTGTAATCTCAGTACTTAAGAGGCTGAGGCAGGTAGATCTCTGAGTTCAAGATCAGTTTAGTCTATATTGTAAGTTCGAGCCAGAGCTATGTAATATGATTTTAACTAAAAAACAAAACAAACCTAAATATGGGGTGAGGGAGGGGAGAGAAAGTACATGTGTGAAAGAGCAGGAATCTCAAGTTTTAAACTGTATTTAAAATTTTTAAAACAACATTTTTTTATATTAATTAATTGTGTGTGTGTGTGTGTGTGTGTGTGTGTGAGAGAGAGAGAGAGAGAGAGAGAGAGAGAGAGAGAGAGAGACAGACAGACAGACAGACAGACATGTGGCGGTCAGAGGACAACTTGTGGGAGTCAGTTCTCTACTTCCACTATGTAGGTGCAAGGACCAAATTCAAGTAGTCAGGCTTGGGAGTGGGTACCTTTCCTTGATGAGTCATCTCAGCATTAGCATTCCTTGAACTAGTTTAAAAGGACAGTGGAGAATTCTCTGTATCTAAAGTCTAGCAAATTTCTAATATATGACTACTACAGACACACACAATGACACGTGGCTTAGACTAGAATGGAGTATGTGGGAGGGCATGAGTTCCATAGTCACAAGGATCTAGATGAGAATCTCAGCGGTTTCTAGCTCTACACATGACACACTGAGCTTCATTTTTCTTACTTTTCTTTCATTTTCATTTCTCTTGTAAAGAGAAATCTCTAACCTTCTCCCTTGCTCTCATGATTACTGAATAAGCACATTCAAAGCAGCTAGCAGAGTTGTACGGGACAGATGCAGTACAATGAGATCAGGGTTTGTGTAAGTAGCAGACACTCAGGAAGTATCAGAGCATGGATGATAATTAATTTTACACATCATTCAAGACCTGGCTCAAATACTACCTCTTCATATATTTTCTGATTATTAAAGCTACGAAAGACTTTTTTCTGTTAGTTATTCCCAAAATATTTTGCTTTTATTCATCCTATGCCACTTACTACATTCTTTTCCATGTTGATTTCCTCTTATTTGCAGACATGTAATATAGCCCTAAGATTTAATTTGTTGTTGTAGGTAGAAAACATTTTATTATCATTTGTTTCCCTTGCTGTGTTCTATAAATTCTTGTTGTTGTCATTGTTGTTATTTTTTAATTTAGGGGCAGAGTACTAGCTTGAAAAAAAAAAAGAAAAAAGAAAATAAAACAAGAAAAAGATAAGTAAGTAAAAATAGGCAGGCTATCTGCTGGCCACTAGCAGTGTAGACACGTCCAGAGTAAAACAAGGGTGAAATACGTGAACAAAAAAAGCCTGGTACCTTTTACCAAGAATGATAAGTAACACAATTTCTCAGTTAGACCTCTAGGCTTTTCAGAACTTGTCAGATAACTTCTTCTTTTTAACAAGTGAATCACTTTATTGACCTCATGCCTAGAAAAGCATTCTAATTCCCCTGCAGTGAAAGAACCACCTGATGCTGCTCCTTATTCCTACTGTTCTTAGACAGCCATCTATCACGTTTACTATTCTAGCAAGGTAATTCTGCATTCTAAAGACTGTGGAGCAGAGCAGCCCAGACCCCACATGTGCACCGCTGTCTACTGAGATTGTGAGGCACACAGTGAGTGAGCACAGACGTTCTCTATACTGATACAGACATAAACTCAAAAGGACAATATCAGTTGAACACATCTAGGGGCCTAATGCAAGACATTACAGAAGTAGCACTGTAATTGTTTAATTGGTAAAGTCTGGGGAAAGGAAAACAGTTGTTACATTCTCAGGGTAAGAAACTCTAAGAATGATAGGATGAGCCTATTTAAGACAACAAATAGGGACAGAAAACAAAGATAAAAGAAAACCATGAGGCCGGGCGGTGGTGGCGCACGCCTTTAATCCCAGCACTCGGGAGGCAGAGGCAGGCGGATCTCTGTGAGTTCGAGACCAGCCTGGTCTACAGAGCTAGTTCCAGGACAGGCTCCAAAGCCACAGAGAAACCCTGTCTCGAAAAACCAAAAAAAAAAAAAAAAAAAAAAAGAAAACCATGAATCTAATTGTACCCGATTAAGTTTTTTCTAAGAGTTCCATATACTAGAACAGAATAATTCTTTTAAAGACAGGCTAGGTCTCTCAAACAAAAACTGGCCCAGAAAAATGTGTTTTAAAAAAATACTTATAGCCTCACTATCAAATACAACAGAATTTTCTTCTGAAATCATGTTCTACCTCTCGTTCCTCTTCTTGCTCTTTGCGAATCTGCTCCAAACGAAATTGTTCTGCCATCTCTCTCTCATGAGCTTCTCTCTGTTGATATTTGGACAATAACAAATATTAATAAACACTTAAACAAAAATAATAAAACAAAGGAATCAAGCTCATATAGGATTGTGATAAATGTTTGATAGTATTGAATTCCAGTATAAGGGTTTTTTTTTTTATTGTATTACATGTATTATTGGGTGGCTTCTACTCTGGGGGAAAAAAGGGAAAAGGGGGGGAACAAGTTATATCTAAAGAGCTTATTCAACATAATATTTACGGGAAGTGTGGTAACAGCAATATTTCTTTCTAGACTAAAAATGGAAATGGAAAACTACAGAAAGAAGTTTTCTGATATGCTGGATTCTTGGTCAAACAACATAGTTGGCTCTGTGTAAGGAGGCATTTAAGAGCCTTCAAAGGCTAGGCATATATAGCCGAGTTGGCAGCATGCTTGCCTAGTATATATGAAGTTCTGGTTTGAACCCAGGCACCACAAAGCATGAACTGAGCATGGTGGCACATGTGTGGATCCAAGTACTCTGGAGGTGGCAGCAGAAGGACCAGAAGTTTAGGGTGGTTCTTGGCTATATAGCAAGTTAAAGGTCAGTCAAAAAGACAGAGTCTGTCTCTAAAACCAAACGAAACCAAACCAAATCAAACCACCACCAACCCCACCCCCAAACATTTCTCTTGTCCCTAAATTTTGATCCTTTCTGCTTACACTCTGGCACAAATCTCAAGTTTTGGTCACAACAGTGTTTCGTTACACCCTCACACGCTCTGGACAAGAGCTTGCCCTTCTCCCTCCCCTCTGTAGTTCATCAGATCACCTAGAGGAAAGCTTTCCCAGCACGTTCCCATGTGCTGGGTCTTCAAAAAAGCTGGAAAGATATTCTTTTTCCCCCACTGAACCTCCAGTTCACGAACACCCATAAATTCAGTGCTTCTCTGATGCCTTGTGGGGACTTGCCTAAGGGGAAAACAGGCCATGGTCTTGACCCTTTTACCAAGTTATCAGTCTTTGTCTGAGGACACAAGCAAGGCTTCTTCGTACCCAATATGGCAGCATGTGGCTCACGAAGCACAGACCAAGTCATTGTTTCCAAACCCAACAGCACAGTAGTCACTCACAGAACTCAACTGAACATCTGGGCAGGTGAGGGATGCAGCAGGAAGGGTGCCTGCCACCACACCGAGCACCCTGAGTTAGTTTCCTGGAACCTGCATGGTGGAAGGAGAAAACTGACTCCTTCAAGGCATCCTCTGACCTCCACAGACACAACATCGTCACCCAAACACGGTAGAAAGTAAATGTAAAAAGCGCTGTTGGGTTCTACCAAACACTAATTATAAAACAGATACTAGACTCATTTTGTTATCATTTTTATTATTCTGACACAACTTATTTCATCAAAATAAATGAGAATCATGGGTAGAATTATTTTCTGTTAACAAACCTAGCTTTTCCTAAAGAAAATTTAACATTTTTTAGGGTGTCAAATGATGGGGGGGGGGGCATTCAGACAACCAAAGACTATTTAGGACTCAGTCCTACATTCCAGTTGACACTGGACCAAACCTACCTTTGCCCTATCAGCTTCCAGGGAAAGGCGATAGGCCTCATCTTGCTCTCTCTTCACGTTCTCTCTGGCTTCACGTTCATCCTTAAATGAAAGGTTCAGGTAAAGTTTCATCTTTTTTTTTTTTAAAAAAAAGAGAAAAAAGAAAAACGTCTTGTTTTATTTCTAAATGAACTCATTACAATTAAATAAGGAGCTTTTAAAGTATACAGATTAAGCAAACAAGCAAGATAAGCAACGTAATACATAGCAAAATATGAGAATATCTGAATCCTAGCCCTGTTTATAAATTAACCATGTGACCTAAGCCACTGAACATCTCTAGAAATCTTCCATCTCCTCTATGGTAAATTGAAATACTATTTTTCTGATATGGCTATTTAGAGAATTAAATGCAGTAGCATATTAACTGTAGTAAAGCATGGAATGCTTAATTTATTTGCATAATTATGAGTTCCTCTACCCCTTTCTCCTGATTTGGAGATTTTTGCACTGGGACTAAGAACTGGGAGGAAATTTTTAAAAAGGCTGAAAGCAAAATACTCTTGTTAACCTCATTTCACACAAGCCTAAAATTTCAGTTATTAAGACAAAATTTTTCTTCTTTTGATTATTAAGTAGCTCCTTACTATTAAAGCATGTAGCTAATAGAAGTTATCAGTGTCAAAACTATTTTACATTTTTTGCATGTGACAAAATTAATGTAGAATATTAAGTGAGATCACACAATCTCAAAAAGAAATAAACCACATGTTCTCTCTCATATGTAGAACCTAGCCAATAATGTACATACACATAGTACAGTAAAACATGGAAAAAGGGAACCAGAAAGGCTAAACCTAAGAGGCTGGCTGGTCAATGAGCTTAGAGACCCCTCCTTCACTCTCCCAGCACTGGAGTTACACACTATACTGATGAGCCTGGCTTTTAATGAGTGCTGGGGATCTGAACTTAGGTCCTCATGGTTGTGTGGCACTTGCCTGACAGAACCATTTCCAGGTCCTCTTCTAGAATACCTTTAGTTTCTAAAGTGAGCATACACCATCCACCTACATTAACTCTTGATTTTAGATGAAATTAAAAATTATTTCACTAACATTTTTATTTGCACATCAGAATTTATATCCCTCAGAATATGCAAAATACATGCATTTTATTATTATTATTAAAATTATTTTTTGAGATGGTTTCAGTGTATAGCCTGCTTTTACCTGGGATTAGAGATGTGCACTACCAGCCTTGGCTAAGTACTTCAATTTAACAAATAACTGCACCCACGAGTGTAAGTCTCTCTTTCAGTCACTCTTGCATTAAGATGAAACTACACAGCCATAAATATTTGCCTATTTCTGATTTGTTACAGAAATCTCAAAAGGCTTAATACTTTCTTTCCCTTTCTAATTCACTACACGTTTACTCGAGACAGAGTTTCTCTCCAGCATTCTTTTAGGGGCTTTCTCTAGTGCCTAGGGCTTCTAATTCCAATATTTAGATAATTATAAAGCAAAAATAGACACGGGAATAAGTAAATAAAAACCATAAATAAAAATGGGCCTTAAAACCCACTAGAGCCATATTTAGCAGTATACTCTTTTTTTTTTTTTTTTTGGTTTTTCGAGACAGGGTTTCTCTGTGGTTTTGGAGCCTGTCCTGGAACTAGCTCTTGTAGACCAGGCTGGTCTCGAACTCACAGAGATCCACCTGCCTCTGCCTCCCGAGTGCTGGGATTAAAGGCGTGCGCCACCACCGCCCGAACTACACTTTCCTTTATATTTCACTAACTCCAGCTGAGGTTCTTTTATCCCATTCTACTAAAAGGTTTTATAGTTATTTGACCCACCCATCAAAGAATATTCTTGTTTCTGTCTACATGTTCCTTCAATGATCTGACTACTCTGTAAACACCTCTCCTCAACCCAGACACAAGTTTATGCAGAATGGGACTGAGATATTTTATCTACAGTTTCTCATCATAACTGAGGAGGGCAATGGGTGGGCCAGCATACTTGTGCACACATCCTGGTGCTGCTGATGGCACGCTACATGAATGGGTAAATGTTTTCCTTTTCAGACATCAATTAAAGCATTGAACTCTTATGGATCCTGTGTGCCTGTGGATAAATATATTTTCAAAATTATCTATCTCTAGAATGAAATCAACAAGTTATAAAAGAATAATCATGCCCCTTTCTATATCTATGGAAATATGTGATATGAAAATATTTAGGATGCTTAAAATTTTAAATTGACCTTATTTTTCTGACCTCACCTCCTTGAAATTAGCTCCAATTTCAGAATATCCTGTTTTTCCTTTAAAGCACTAAGCTGCAATTATATATCACAGTTATTTATTTAATATATTATCCTCATAATACTAAGCACCACAAAGTAGAGAGCTTGTCTATATTATATGCTGCTATATTTTACATGCTGCTGATACTTTCTGAAAGGTGTTTAGTAAGTATAGACTAAATAAATCTATGCAATGGTTTGTGTGTGTATGTGTGTGCACATGTGCACTTTGTGTGTGTGTATGCACATGTAGAGGCCAAAAGTTGATGGGAAGTGTCTTTCATTATTGTGCTAAACCTTAGTGTTTTGTTTCTCTTTATTTACTCTTCTCTCATGCACTGCATCCTGTCTTCAGGTTCCTCTCCCCCACTCTTTCCATCTCCCTCTGCCCCTGTTTCCCTTCAGAAAAGAGCAGGCCTCCCAGGGATATCAACCAAATATGATATAACAAGATGCAACAAGACTAGGCACAAACCCTCATATTAAAGCTGGATGAAGCAACCCAGTAGGAGGAAAAAAGTTCCAAGAACAGGAAAAAGAGTCAGAGACACCCCCACTCCCACTGTTAGGAGTCCCAGAAAACCCTCAAGCTAAACAACTATAACATATCGGCAGAGGACCTAGGGCAGACCCATACAGGGTCTGTGATTGCTGCTTCAGTTTCTGTGAGTCCCAAAGAGCCCTGCTTAGTTGATTCTGTGGGCCGTGTTGCCTGGTGTCCTCAATTAGTTTTGAAGAGAAAGTATGACAAAATCTGGGTTCACTGATTTGGCTAGGCTCGCTGGCCAGAAGCCCTTAGGAACTACCTGCTTCTTCTCATAGTCCTGGGGTTATAGGTATGCACTGCTAGGACTGGCTTTCTATATGGGCGCTGGAAATCTATCTAACTTGAAATCCATGTGCACAGCAAATACTTTATCTACAGAGTTATATCTCCACTCGACTCCTCCCTCCCCCTCCACTTTCTTTTACACGTTCTCACTATGTAGCTCTGGCTAGCCTGGATATAGACCAGGCTAGTTAGCCTCAAACTCATAGAGATATGTCTGGATATGCCTGCTTCTGTTTTCTAAATGCTGGTATTAAGGGCATGAGCCAGCATGCTTGGATTTTTAATTTTGTTTTTATTTTGGTATTGGCTTCATGCAGCCCAGGCTGGCCTTGAACAACTGATTTTATTGCCTCCACCATTTGAATGCTAAGATTACAGGCATGTGCCACCAGGCTTGGATTTTTTTTTCCATTTATTTATTTATTAGATTAGACCTAGGGCTTTGCACATGCTAAGTACGGGATCTACAACTGAGCTACATTTGCAGCTCCAAGTATACGCTGGATAAACAATCATCTTTTTAGGCACAAAGCATCAATTGTTTGCAGTGAAAATAGGAATAAGGGGTATGGCTCTTCTGCAAAGCAACCCGGCCTGGTCAATGTAGTCAACTGGTTGGGCAGGACTGACTTGTTATGATACTATGTACATTCTACAAAGGGACATGCTGTATCAGCTGGAAGCCATTTAAGTACAACTACAGTTCACAATACACGTACTCTAAGCAAACAGTTCTGTTCTAAAACAGACTTGGAAATACAAAAGACCATTAAATACACATCTGTTGGAGAGGACTTCCTAAACCAGCTACTCACCATCCTGTCTGCTCTGTTTTTCTCTTTTCTTTTTGTCACAAATATTCATTAAGTATCAATTTTACATTTGACAATAGCACTGGGGATACAAAGAAGGTCAGATAATTCATACGTGATATCATCGTCATTTTGTTAAAAAGTGTACTGATCAGGGTTAGGTTACTCTCCTCTTCCTTAAATGTTGCTTTCTGTTCCATCAGCTCTATTGCTCAAAATCCCACCTGTTTTTCATATATTTTTATAAACACAGGAGGACCAATATGGCCAAAGGAGCCACTTTAGAGACGGAATGAGGACAGATAAAGTGTGGGCCTCTCTAACAAAGCTACTGGCAGAGCTTAGATGGGAACCCAGGACTCCTGAATGTGTCACAGTCTTTTCCTTGCTTATACCCCTCCTGACCATCATGGCAGAGCGACTGCTTGAAGGCATGTGGTTTGGAATGAAATTTCACAAATTTATTATGGTCTTCCATGTGTTTATGATTATTTGTATATGGCTATATTTGTTCTTATCTTTTCTCTAGATTTTATACCTACTTCTCCAACTGTTATCTCCAGTTTGGGGGGGTTAGAGGTAATAGGTACCCCCTGACACACACATATTATACTATATTGTTACAGTTAAAAAATATCCCGGGGGTTGGGGTTAAACTTAATCTACAAATCTAGTTTTATAACCTGAAGCACTCTTGGCACTACTCCTGTGGCCTACAAATATGTCCTGGTATAGTGAAATCTAGGCTAGCCTGGGTTACACAGTGAGACCTTGCCTCAAAAATATGAAAAAAGACAACAGACAGACAGACAGATATGAAAGACTTATAAGAATTAAAAATACTTCTGTGCATCAAAGGGATGCCATTAAGAGAAAGGACAATGTACAAATGTAATTAATATTTACAAATCAAAAGAAAAAAGAGCAAAAGACTAAAATAGACATTTTTAAATAAGACCATAAATGTTCATTAAGCATGTATTCATAGCAGTATTCACAATAACCAGGAGGTAGAAATAACCAAAAAATTCACCAACAAAAAAGGTGAACATACAAATGTAGTATACACATATGAACACACAAATGGACTATTATTCAGCCATAAAAAGATAAGATACTACAATATAGATAAAACTTAAAGACACTAT